TCTTTCTTTGAGTATCTTGAGAATATCTTTCCACCGGGTACATATTTACAACAGGGAGGAATACAGTTGCATTAGCACTGTGTTCTGATTAGGCAAACAAACATTCATTTCAGGGAAGTCGGCTGCTCCAGGAAGAAGGCCACGCTACCGTGACTATACTGCTTCTGATACCCAAGCTCACACACCTCTGCCAACACTGCCTGGGACTACACAAACGCATGTCGGTATCCATGAAGCTCTTAGCATCTTTGCAAGGCTAGACAACACTGAAATAATCGCTCTCCTAACCTATAAACAAGGACTCAAGCCTTAAAACCTATACAAAACATGTGCCTAATTCATGGCATTTGTTATAAGCTGATAGTTATTTTCTGTCTAATTATATGTGGCTCATCAGATGCTTTGAAGATTCAGCATGCTGAACGTGCGGAACTTTAACCGTAATCATGAGGAAGTTCAAAAGCTCGCTCCTACCCTTCTGTCTGGTGGGGTGAATTTGGCGTTCGTGATGCTCACAGAACGATGCTGGCTTTGCCAAAGAGCGAGGGCTGGTGTTACGCATGCTTCATTGCACAGCTCTGTCTGCCCACTGTTCAAACAAAACTGCCAGCTTCAAGGCTTGTTTGAGCAGTGACTTCAAATTGCGGGTCCCACTGGCAACACGTTAAATTCCTTCAACTCCTACCGAGACCAATGGGTAAGGAAGGTGAGCAGTAGATTGCCAGACGCCACTGGGGAAGGCCAAGTTGCACAATGTGAACCTAAGAAAACAAATACACTTTCTCGAAGGGCTCGAAACAAAACCTGAATCCTATTCCTTGGGGTTTGAACGTATTGAGCTCTTTTTGACCTGTTCTCAATCTTATGTACGTTTCAATTCAAAGGCTAAATAGATAAGAATAGTCTATGAGGTAAAAAACTGACTAAGAAATCCTGAAAGTGTTAGCGTTCTAGCAGAAATCAAGCTTTCAGGGGATGTTAGCACTCTTTGCTATCTTCAATATCATTTAAAGAGTGCAAAGTTGATTCAAAGCTCTTTAGGTTTTTCTCCTAAACGTTCTCTCATCTAGCCACATCCATTCCTCTTCTACTGGTCCGCAGTTTTCTAGTTCATGTGCTTTAGCACGATCCTGCCATGTTTGTGCTTTTAACAATATAGCAAACGCTTTACTCTACATTCTTGTTCCTGCCCCTTAGGATCATACCTTTTTCTTCCCACTGAACTCCATCTACTTTACAGTTACTACGTTCTCAAAGACGCTAAGGATAAGAGAGCAGCACATATCTTGCCAAAAGCAAAGACAGCAGACTTCTGTCCAGTTCGGACTGATCTCTGAAGCTGGACAGAAAGGAATCACTGGTAGTAGCGACATTTGTTTTAGAGAATATGTTACAGTTCACCGAACTCTGAAGGATACAAAGGAGAAAGACCCAAGAGGACTTTCCCAACTTCCTCCCAGTGGCATGACTGAAAGAAACAGAACTGGAAGGGAAACATCAGTTAAAGTGATGCAAGGCACAGAATTATGAAATGTCATCTGGTTGGTACAGGATAAGAAACTGTATCACTTTGGGTGGCTTTCATCTCCACAGGAAAATAAACAAATGTTTATGCAGCAAAGTGGTTTAGATGCTTGAGAAGGTGCAAAGTTAGAAGCACCAAAAAAAAAAAAAAAGAGAGAGAGAGAGGGAACAAAAAGTGGAATAAATGAGTAGTCAGCAACATAATAAAGATACTGAAAACAGAAGTAATCACATCCTTTTAGTGGCTTGAAGAAAGAAGCATCTTTAATAGCTAATTTGCCAATATCAACTTCCTCCCAGTGGCATGACTGAAAGAAACAGAACTGGAAGGGAAACATCAGTTAAAGTGATGCAAGGCACAGAATTATGAAATGTCATCTGGTTGGTACAGGATAAGAAACTGTATCACTTTGGGTGGCTTTCATCTCCACAGGAAAATAAACAAATGTTTATGCAGCAAAGTGGTTTAGATGCTTGAGAAGGTGCAAAGTTAGAAGCACCAAAAAAAAAAAAAAAAAGAGAGAGAGAGAGGGAACAAAAAGTGGAATAAATGAGTAGTCAGCAACATAATAAAGATACTGAAAACAGAAGTAATCACATCCTTTTAGTGGCTTGAAGAAAGAAGCATCTTTAATAGCTAATTTGCCAATATCAGAAACCTAAATAATAAAAAAAATTGAATTCTTATGGGCATATATTCAACCAAGTTGATATTACTGACACATAGAGGGGAGATACACATGACTAGAATGCCAAAAACCAATATTGCTGCCTATTTAGGAAATATCAAATGAACAAAAGAAAAAGGGGAAACGGTACTACACCGAACATGGCATCGCTTGTTTACAAGTCACTGACAACTCAGGGCAAACCATCTTGGACTTCTATGGATCAGTGGCCTCACATATAAAGCACAAGAAGGAGAGGGAATACTGACCGTTAATTTACGGAAGAGATCAGAACGCCCAGGGCCTCATGCACCCCGCTTAACAACGTTAAGAACCGCCCCCACCATCACAACCCCAAAACTGTTATCACATAGGACTGAAATTTAAGGGGAGAGGAATCAGTCTGTCAATTTTGAAAGAGGCTCAGGCTTTCAGAAAATTAGAGAAGATAATTTCATACAATTAAAATGCTGCATCTGACACAGGGGAATTCTACATTAGACCTCAGTTTGACAGGTAAAGAACAAATGAACACCAAAACAAAGACGAGCCATAGCTTAGCTACAAGTGAGCATGATTTGATTACACTTACTGTGTGCAAACAGAATGAAAAACCAGCTTGTAAGTACTTGGTGCTTTAAAAGGACCAGCTTCATATAGCTGGAAAAAAATTCTGAACTCAAGCTAAAAGAGAGAATCTGACTTGATAAGACTGATAATTTTTCAAATATGACCTCTCTAAATTCCAAAGAACTCATCTCCCAAACAAAACGGCCGCAAAGGTTAAACATAACTAGACAAAAAATTGAATCAAACTGTAACCCTCTCTTTCACACTACACGTAACAAATGGGAGAAAGGGGAGAACTAAGTGGCAAAGTTCAGAGGCAGTAATAAGCTTAAGTCGAAAGATACACATGGTTAAATGAAGCAAAAGATGCAAGGAAACCGTCTTTTCAGTACATTAGGAACAAAGAGAAACCCCAGACATAGTACAAAGTCCATTATTTGTTAGTGATGCTTCAGTACCGAGAAATCCACAAAAGGCAGAGATGTTCAACAAACAGCTTTAGAAGTCTCCAACGACCTATTCATAGGCAGTGATAAATATTCTCTATTCCAACAGTAACTAAGAACGGTAAGTGACAGCAGTCAAGGCTAGACGCCAGAGCACTTGATGAGGCTGAAGCACGCACAGGTCATCAAGGGTGTTGTCAGAAAGGACAGAATCCAGGAAAACTCCTAAGAACCATTAAGAGAGTAGGAAAGCAGGCCTTGCAAGGAAGAGCGCTGCCTCAAACCGTTATGCTTAACAAAGGCAAGTTTAGGACAATCGCAGCAGACGCCTATGCTAACCAAAAGGGGAGAGCAGAGGGCTTGTCAGTCTAGCAAAGACAGAGCAAGTGCCAGGACCTGAAAGTTAACGGCAGATCGTTTCCGCTATAAAACATAGCATCTATTTCTCATCAGCTGAGAGGAATTTGTGGAACCTCACAGCTGAAACGCGCTGCCTCCCTGACCACGTCTCAACGCAGTGACGGGAGGGTTTCCTGACGGTGCGTGCTCGTTCAAAGAGGTCTTTGGTTAGGGCAGCCCTACAGTTTGCGTCGTACGGGTTGTTTTAAGCAGCTGGAACGGGCTCTTTTCTGTCTCTACGCGAGCCCCAAAGCTTCTTTTTTTTTTTTTTTTTTTTTTGCGTGCGAAATCCTTCTGAACAAAACCAAACAAGACGACTGCTGGTCAAAACCAACAGGGCAGCTTCTAAAAATTCCCGTCTCTAACTTTAACAAAACATCAGTGTCCATGTCACAAGTTCCATAACGAAATCCACTTCCATACGCACTTTTGACGTTCCCAACACGCTCTCTGCTCATCTCTATTTAAAAAAAAAAACAAAAACAAAACAAAACAAAAAAAACAACCGAGCGGCACCTCTTCCAGCTGGCAGACCCATCCGCACCCCGGCCTTTCCGCTTTCACCGGCGCCCGG